GAGAGCCAACAACACATGGGCGCACGCGCAGCAATTTAATGCCACGCCCACGCCAGCGTAGAGCTCTCCTCGCAATCCCCAAGCTCGGCGGTCCGCACCAGACACGTCGGCCAGGCCTCCAACTTGCGAGCACAGGCAGCGGCCACCGCCGCCGTGACGTCGCGCCAAGCCGTTGGGCGCGTTGGGGCTGCCAGCACCTTGGCACGAGCGTCGCAACTGAATGCAGCACGCCCGCGTCGCGGATAAGCAGCCCCAACGCGCCCAACGGCTTGGAGCGGGTCACGGGGACGGTGGCCGGAATCGGGACATAGCCGTGACTCGCGCCAAGCCGTTGGGCGCGTTGGGGCTGCCAGCACCTTGGCACGAGCGTGGCAACAGAGTGCGTGCACGCCCGCGTCGCGGATAAGCAGCCCCAACGCGCCCAACGGCTTGGAGCGGGTCCAGGGACGGTTGCCGGAATCAGCCCCCGCCGCCGGGACATCGCGGCAAGCTGAGAGGCGCGCAGCAGCTGCCAGCACCTTGGCACGAGCGCGGCTTTTTAAGGCCCCACGCCCACGCCGCGGATAAGCAGCCCCAACGCGCCCAACGGCTTGGAGCGGGTCCCGGGGACGGTGGCCGGAATCGGGTCGTCGCCGGCCGGAAAACGGGTCATCGATGGCGGCATTACTTCGGGCCATGAGGCCCCCCACGTTAGTCCGAGTGTAGCAGCAGCTCCCAAATCCCCCGCGGCAGGCCTATGGGCGCCAGCCAGCGCGCCCCATGGCCGGTCGGGGGTCACCCCCCTAAAGAGCTATAAGTGTTATTGCAGCTCTGGCAGGGGTAGACACTACTAGGTCCCAGCTGTCACCCCCCCTCTAAAAAATTCATTTCTTGGTATTTTGAGCTGAAATTTTGCACATAGGTTGGCAAAAATCCAATCCACCTCCAGAAATAATCCCAGAATTTTTCGGGTCCGGGAAGTATTTTTTTTTATTTTCCTACCATTAAAAATCAAGGAAATACGCAAAAATAGGAACCGGCCCGGAATGACCCCAAATTCGGCTGGCAGCCTCACAAAAATATGGCTGATTTTACTGGATTGATTTCATGTGGAAAGCACAACGTTTTCTTGGCGGAATGCGGGAAAACCAGCAGCTCGCATGCCGCGGCCAGCGACGTCGGGCTGGCCCCAGCAGCGCCTAGCCTCTCCCGCGCGGGGGGCAGGCAAGAGCGCAGGGGGCCAGGGCCCGAAGGCAGCCCCCCCGCAGGCAAGATAGCAAGCCAGCAGGGGCTGTCCCCGCGTCAGCCCCCGTTGCCGTGAGCCTACCCCCTAGACGAATTTTCCTGCCTGGCCTGGCCAGCCCAGCGTCCAGCCCATGTTCGTCAAAAAATCTGCGCTGCCGATTTTCCCCGGCGGGCACAAATCTGCGCTGCCGATTTTCCCCGACGGGCCTCCAGCGGCACAAATCCGCGCTGCCGATTTTTCCCGCTGTTGGCATCGCTGCCGCAGCCCCTGCCCCAGCGTGTGCCCAGCCTCTCCCGCGCGGGGGGCAGGCAAGAGCGCAGGGGGGCAGGGCCCGAAGGCAGCCCCCCCCGCAGGCAAGATAGCAAGCCAGCAGGGGCTGTCCCCGCGTCAGCCCCCGTTGCGCAGCGCAGCATGGCTGCGTGGGAATCATTGTCGCGCGCGCGCGCGCCCAAGCGCCCAAGGGCCCCCAAGGGCCCCAGGCCCTCAGGCCCCAGGCCCCCAGGCCCCAGCGCCAAGCGCGGGCGCGGGCGGGCGCGCGCGCGCGCGCGTGTGATTTTTATAGGGACGGTGGCCGGAATCGGGTCGTCGCCGGGCGGAAAACGGGTCATCGATGGCGGCGTTACTTCGGGCCGTGAGGCCCCCCACGTTAGTCCGAGCATAGCGGCAGCTCGCAAATCCCCCGCGGCAGGCCTATGGGCGCCAGCCAGCGCGCCCCATGGCCAGTCGGGGGGCACCCCCCTAAAGAGCTATAAGTGTTATTGCAGCTCTGGCAGGGGTAGACACTACTAGGTCCCAGCTGTCACCCCCCCTCTAAAAAATTCATTTCTTGGTATTTTGAGCTGAAATTTTGCACATAGGTTGGCAATAATCCAATCCACCTCCAGAAATAATCCCGGATTTTTTCGTGGCCGGGAAGTATTTTTGTTTATTTTCCTACCGTTAAAAATCAAGGAAATACGCAAAAATAGTGACCGGCCCGGAATGACCCCAAATTCAGCTGGCAGCCTCACAAAAATATGGCTGGTTTTACTGGATTGATTTCATGTGGGAAGCACGACGTTTTCTTGGCGGAATGCGGGAAAACCGGCAGCTCGCATGCCGCGGCCAACGGAGGAGCCCCGGGAAAACTCTTGCTTTCACGGTCTTCGCCTCCCCTCACCACCATGGCAGGCCTCTAATCCCCCCATCAGCAGTTGTAGCCGATAGGGCAGCGATATGAATGACGCCGCCGGGTAATCGCACCCGGCCATCCCGGGGAGGAAGAGATCTCTTCTTCCGAGATAGCGAACAACACATCGGGAGTTATGTTGATAGGGCAGAGAATTGAATGACTCGTTGCGGGCAGCCGGGTCATATGCAGTCCGTCCATCCAGACTCATCGTCAGCACCTGCTGCCGATTGTGCCGACGTTGCCGATTCTGCCGACTTTGCCGATTTCGTCGGCGCTGCCGATTCCAGCACTGCCTCCTGTGCCTGAACAGCCCCTGTTTCGTCAGCGCAATTCCTTGACGATTTTTCCTACCTGGCCTGGACAGCCCAGCATCCAGCCCATGTTCGTCAAAAAATCCGCGCTGCCGATTTTCCCCGACGGGCCTCCAGCTGCACAAATCCGTGCTGCCGATTTTTCCCACTGTTGGCATCGCTGCCGCTGCCCCTGCCCCAGCGTGTGCCTAGGCCCCCAGTCTTTTTCGTCAAGCCTAGGACTATAAACAGTCCAGACTCATCGTCAGCACCTGCTGCCGATTCTGCCGATTCTGCCGATTTCGTCGGCGCTGCCGATTCCAACACTGCCCGCTGTGGCTGAACAGCCCCTGCTTCGCCAGAGCAATTCCTTGACGATTTTTCCTGCCTGGCCTGGACAGCCCAGCGTCCAGCCCATGTTCGTCAAAAAATCCGCGCTGCCGATTTTCCCCGACGGGCCTCCAGCTGCACAAATCCGCGCTGCCGATTTTTCCCACTGTTGGCATCGCAGCCGCTGCCCCTGCCCCAGCGTGTGCCTAGGCCCCCAGTCTTTTTCGTCAAGCCTAGGACTATAAACAGTCCAGACTCATCGTCAGCACCTGCTGCCGATTCTGCCGATTCTGCCGATTTCGTCGGCGCTGCCGATTCCAACACTGCCCGCTGTGGCTGAACAGCCCCTGCTTCGCCAGCGCAATTCCTTGACGATTTTTCCTGCCTGGCCTGGACAGCCCAGCGTCCAGCCCATGTTCGTCAAAAAATCCGCGCTGCCGATTTTCCCCGACGGGCCTCCAGCTGCACAAATCCGCGCTGCCGATTTTTCCCACTGTTGGCATCGCTGCCGCTGCCCCTGCCCCAGCGTGTGCCTAGGCCCCCAGTCTTTTTCGTCAAGCCTAGGACTATAAACAGTCCAGACTCATCGTCAGCACCCGCTGCCGATTCTGCCGATTTCGTCGGCGCTGCCGATTCCAACACTGCCCGCTGTGCCTGAACAG